CTGTTATGCAAAAACCGCGATAGAGTGAAGCCGCGGAAGTCGAAGCGCGAAGTGGCGAGGGTTCACTGTATATTGCTCAAATAACAGTTTTGCCAATGATCAGGAAAGAAAATGTACATACGTCAGGAAATAATGCACGAGATCACTATTATAAAAAGTCAAGGAAAAGTTTGCACAGAGAAAGAAATACCCTTTAATGGTTACCAGGGAGTGGGGGGTAGGGTGGGGAGGGGAGGGAAAAATCACTCGCTAGATATAATAGACGTGTATTATTTTGTGTGAAGGGAGAGGCAATATGCAAGGGGGGCATCAAAAATTTCCGGGGAGGGAATGGAATGAAAAGATAATGGAATCTTCCCCACGAACATTTTGAAACCTCGCTGTTTAGTAAGGGTGTGATCAGCACAGTATCATAAGGGCAGAGGTTAACACCAAGAGGTAACAGGAGTCACCACAGAGGGAAACACTCTTACACAGGCAATCTTGCAATATCAGTAATAACAAACAGTAGTCTACAAGTCGATCTACAGGCAGATTTGGCAGAGGTTTTTCTCTATAGGCAGATTTGGCAGAGGTTTTTCTGCATATGTATTTATATATGTCATAAAAGTATCCATGTTTATAGCACAGCAAATGGGACAAAGTTATGAAAACTTCCCAGTCATAAGCAAACACCTGTGAGAATTCGGGTCTGGTCTGGTGGGCTTAGGACCACAATCTCAGGGGATGGCTAAATCCACTGATATGCCCTAGCTGACAAAGACTATGCCCCCCACCCTGCTGTGGTAGTCAGCGACCTGAGTCTTAAAAACTAGCAAGTGGCCATCCAAGGTGCAACTTATACAGAGAACAGAAATTCAAAGACTCAAAGACACAACTGGTCCAAAGGACTAATGGGAGATGCCCACTATAGCTAGCCCCCACGAGCCTGGGACCAGAACACGAGACGGTGCCTGGCTACCACGGACTGTGGCTACCGAGGGTCCGGACAGAATGGAGGATACAATTCAAGATCATAAAAAGTTCAGACTGTGTGCTCTGGCAGGGATCGTGGAGCTTCAAGACGGGTCCGCAGACACCCTTCAGACTCGGAACTGAACCCTCCCCAGGGAGCACCTTGCAGCAAACACCTAAGAGGCCTGTAAAAACAAATAGCAAGGACCCTCGAGAGACAGGTGCAGGGATACAAGCCAAGAGAGAAGTGGGAAGAGCGCTCAACACCGAGGGAATCGCCACACATGTTACGAAACAAATTGTGCACAAACCATCGAATGGAAAACTCACCTGCTCTGTAAACTCTCACCCAACTCACAATTTTTAAGAATCCTGTTCATTTGGTAGTATCTTTTATTGGGTGTACGTTTTCTGCTACTGCTCTTTTCCAAAAAGGGATAATAAAATGAACATGTTACTCAGGACGGGTCAGGATCTTGGACCCAGCAGGCTTAGAAAATAATGAGTATTTTCCATTCCTAGAGCACACGTGTTTGCTTCAAAATCATGATAAAGTTAGAGAAAAGTTTGAAATTTGGTACAAATATTTTTTTCTCCCCCTTGAGCCATTTCAGATTAAACCAATGATCTGAAGCCCCAGAAAGTTTAAGGTATACGAAGGGGCTTCAAAAAGTCCAGGGACTAATCCTATTATCTTTTAGTTCTACTTTTCCACGTATTTTTGAAGCCCCTCATATTTCCTATCAACGTTCTCCCACATAACCACAAGAAATATAAAAAAAATTGAGCAGGACACATTATTACTCAACTTATTATCCTAAACTTTTGCCATATATCTCAGTAATTTATTTCAATAAAAAAGGACCCAGTTCAGAAACACCTTTAATCTGGAACTTTGTTTTTCATGATTTTTATGGCATCAAAAAATGGTTAAGATTGTGGGCCAAATGAGTTTGTATTATATCCCTCACAGTAAATGTTTCTTTTGCTTATTTCCTGTGACAGTCACGTTTCACGTCCTGGACAGAAACGACACAAGTGAGGAGTTCTTCTCATTGTGTTCCAGCGGGTAGCACTGCTGATGGGACAAAGAAACCTGTGTGCCAGGTTCCTCCACTCTAAACTGACTTCATTTCTCCTTCATAATTAACTAGTACATTGTGAGTAATGCTACAAGGGGTCTGTTCGCATGTGCCTGGGTTTATTCCAAACAAAATGTGTTTAAATGTGTCTCTTTGATCAAGGGATGGCTACAGGCAAGTTCACTCAACAATGTACTTGTCTTCGTCTTAAGATACTTTAAAAAAAATAGCCCAATCAAAGCAGTGGCTTCCAAGGGGTTCTGTTGGCCAGTTACATGGACAGCAGATGGTGATGGTTTTCTTTGTATTCCAAGGGGGGAATCTTGATGGATGATCTCCCAGGTGCAGGACAAGCATAGACGTTTATTATGAACACGTTTTTGTTTGTTTGTTTTTTAAATCATTTTACTGGAGGCTCATACAATTCTTACCACAATCCATCCATCCATCCATTGTGTCAAGCACATTTGTACATTGGTTGCCATCATCAGTCTCAAAACATTTGCTTTCTACTTGAGCCCTTGATATCATCTCCTCATTTTTCCCCCATGAACAAGTTTTTAATACCCCAAAAAAATGAACTGGTAAGAAAAATGCCAGAAAAGTGGCACCAAGAAGTTTTCTCCCTCATCACATTACACCTGTTCATTCTCCAAGGGGGGCAGGGCTGCCCTAGGGAGTTTCCTTAGAAACGTTCTCCCCACCACCCTACAGTCCTGGTCTGGCCCCTTCAGGTTTCTTTTGTTCCAAAAACTCAAAGAATATCCAAAAAGGACTCAGTGTGTGGCCCTTAAGGGTGCCTACAGGGCTGTGCGATGTTGTGGCATCGATCTGAGAGCCCAGAATGCTGTGGGGAAGGGTTGGAGAGAAGGAAATGGAATCTTTACAATTGTAGAGAACTAGAGGGTGGGTGGGTGTGTTTAGAACCCTCTGCTTCACAGTGTAGGGCCTGTGTTTGAGAACGTTTTCCATGACTTTACTGATAGCCCATAATCTAGATATAAAATTCCTGGGGAACGAAGAAACTTGAGAAGCTGCTCCAGGGTGGTCACTGAGGCTTGCCTGTGCTTTCTTTCTCCGGCTGGGCTGTGTCCTTGGCTGTCATGAAATCCTTCTGAAGGTCTCCCCTGGATTCCTGCATATCCTTTCTCTTACCCAATCTGTAACCACGGCAATAACCTTCCCTTCTTTCCAATCCCACCCCTTTCCCTACTCAGACATCCTTCTCACTGCTCAGACTCCGGGCCCCCTACCCAATGCCCTGCCACAGCGAGACCCTCACCACCCTGCTGGCTTTGTCTTCTCATGCCAGGCTACCTACCCCCAGGCTTCTCTTGCCGAACATAGAATCTTACACAGCATTCTAGGCCACCATGCTCCCTCCCACACCCTGAGTGTCTACCTACCTCTGACCCACATACTGGCTCCAAGACTGAACTACTGAACTCCCAGGGAAGGGGGACCAGGAAGGTCAAAGGGAAA